AATTATTTTAGATGGTTTGTGTACAGTGGATAATCCTGTTTCATCAACATTATAAATCTGGTTTGCATTGAAACTATATTTATCTAATATTGATTCATATTTATCAAAGAATTTATGAACTAATTCTTTATTGAAAGCTTTATCCCTGGCCATTGATGTTGCTTCTGGAGTACGTAAGGATAAGCAAGGATTATCTTTCATAAATTTATAGTACCACTTTTTACTTGCAATTTCTTTTTCTTTGTTAAAACGGTGTGGTAAATTATATTTTTCAGCGAGCTGGTAGACAAGTTTTATTAGATCGGTTGCAGTAAGCCCAAAAAAGCTTGCTTCTAACTTAAGTGCGTGTGAAACCAACTCCCGTCCCATAGTATTGCTCAAATCCTTGGGCCTTCCAAATTTAACGTGCCTATTTAAGCCTCGAAAATGACGTCGTAGCGTTGGTTTTGGGATCCCATATTTTCTATGAACTTCATTAAATCCAATAACACCTTGCGATGATGGAGGTAAGAAAGGAAGGAGTGGCCAAATCGGCATTAGAAGTGAAGCACCGCTCCGAAGCTTCGGTCACTAGATGTGTTTTTTGTTTACATTCAGAAGCCTGCTTAACAGCGCTCTGGTAGTATTTCGACACACGACAGTTCCATACAAATCGAGAAACGGGACACTTCTGCATAAAAGAAAAATTCCTAGTGTGATGGATAATAGCAATTTTTATAGTTTAGTGACATTTACGCAAAAATCCCATCTTGGTTATTTTTCGTTAACTAACAACAGCGATTTTGATTATGAATTTGTTTTATAAAATTCTAAGCTGTTGAACTACAAAATTATAGATTTTAGCAAAAAATTTATGCTTAAAGAATGAAAAATACCTCACCGTACCTTTAAAATTGTATACATCTTTCGATACCCTTGATACAGTATTCGCTACTTTTATGTTTCAAACGCCAAAGTGTTTTAAATAAAATAAATTTTTGTCACATCCACATATTATTGTAACATGTACTTTTTTTAAAATTAGTGTAAATTACTTTACTCGAAAATTATAGTGAAAGCACAGAAATTAAAGATTTCCACCTGCCGGAAATGAAAAATTGTATTTATGCAGGTGCTTGCAAAAAGCATGTATCTGCATTTAACAAAATACGTAAATATTTATTAAATTATTTATAAATGTATTTGAAATGAAGGATTTATTCATTCATAAATAACTGTTAAAGTTACTGTGAAGAAATCTAATTATTAAATGCAATCTAAATTTATAATGTTTATAAATATTATCTAAATATATAATAACCTTAACATTGAATTGTAAAACATAAATTGACATCTGTTGACAAATACGTTATAAAACTATTTAAGCAGAATTGTTCGTACTGGAAAGCAATCTGTTAAAAGGTATTGGTAAAGCAATTTCTACGAGATGCGTACTTAAGAAAGTAATAATGAAGAGTTTTGGAATATGTATTGTTGAAATTAAGGGTAAAAAAATCTAATAAGTTTAATTAAAAGAATTATTCCCCTTATATAAGTCAAATACAAGTTTTAAATAATATTTAAAAAATAATCCTTATTTTATTCCCTTTCAGAAATATTCAGAGAAAGTTAAGTGCTATTTAAAGTATTTCGCTATTAAATTAAAAGGTGCTCTAATTTGAAGTGGACCGAACAGAGCATTAATTATAAATTGACTTATAGTTTTCGATTTAAAAGATGCCTCAGAAACTAAAAAAATATGTCATATTTGAGAAAGTATTTTAGGAAGAAGCTCTATAAATAGAAAAATTTTAATAATGCAATAAACTTTTATCTCAATTTTTGTAATCCTTAACTGAATCAAATCGAATTGCCTTAATTGTTTTTTCTAATGTAATTAATGGAAACTTGTGAAAATATTTAAAATTAAATCATTCTGAGCAAACTGTTCTGTGAAAAGTATAGCATTTAATTCCGTTCAGAATGAAATGTTTAAAAATGTATTCGGTACTTACGTATTAAAGCAACCAGGCCAAAATTCGCATAAATTGCCAAATTTGGCGACCCTACTTACGGCAACTCTACGTGTTATACATAGTTTTGTAAAAAGAGCATGTGGAGATTCACAAAATTTTCCTGCATTTTCGTGCAAATTTTTGTAATTTATTAGAAATTAAACCCTTCCTGTTTCGAATTTGAATAAATTGCAGAATTATTTTTTCGGCGGAAATCTTTTTGCTATTGCTTTTAACACTGATTGAAAACCGTATCCGCCATAACCATGTACACGTCGACTTATTTTTACTTAAAAAAACATCCCAGAATTGCACAAAAATGGCATTGCGTACACTCTTGACTTTATCCATGTACACTGCTATTTTCTCATAAATTACAAAAATTTGCACGAAAATGCAGGAAAATTTTGTGAATCTCCACATGCAAAATAGCAGTGTACATGGCATTCCTCCATTTTCGTGCAAATTTTTGTAATTTATGAGAAAATAGCAGTGTACATGGATAAAGTCAAGAGTGTGCGCAATGCCATTTTTGTGCAATTCTGGGATTTTTTTTTAAGTAAAAATAAGTCGACGTGTACATGCTTATGGCGAATACGGTTTTCAATCAGTGCTATAGCGAAAAGATTTCCGCCGAAAAAATAATTCTGCAACTTATTCAAATTCGAAACCGGAAGGGTTTAATTGCTATTTTATATTTTAAAACAAAATAACATAAAAAACTGTATTAAAAATTATCTGTAATTAATAAATGTACATTTTCTTTCTATTCATACTTTTTTACTCAAACTTACAAATCGTGCCAACCTGGTTGCGATAATACGTAAGTACCATGTATTCTTTTCATATACTTAAGCCTCTGAAGTATTGTAGAAAAAGAAAATATATGCATATTTACGACGTAATTACAAAAAAATCTTACCTTACACAAAAAAAAAAAAAAAAAAAAACTCACCTACCGCCAGCACTAATAGACAGTCATTAGACAACATGTATTCCTTTTCGTGTCAGTATGGAGACAAAACTTGTTACTTGAATTAGTTTGTATGCATCATAGCATGGTAAGTGATGCATGAAAACATCTCAACAGAAAAGCCAAACATTTCTGCTTTAGCAAGTAAACTGATTTTTGTAAGTAAATTTATTTTACGTTTTGATTTTTTTAAACCTCTTGAGGTTTTGCTTCCAACTTTTTCTGCAGAAGCAAAATATTCTTTTGCCAGATCTAAAATAAGTATGTCTCATTCTGCCCTAAGAGTACAGAACACCTTTCTAGGGTGATTCACAATCCATCACAGAAATGCTACTATAGTAACTTTAACCTCTATAAACATATGCATTCTTGCATAAACTCTTACTAAGACTTCTACACCTGGTAGTGCTTGAGGAGTAAAGAATTTTCTTTCCTCAGGCGAAATGATGTTTTGAATACAATTGGTTTAATTTTATGTTCACTATATATTTTATTAGGATTTTATGCTCAATAGCCAGAAAAGCAGATAAAATGCATTTTCTCTATGTGCTCTATCTGTATGTACTATAACCAAGTCTCAAAGTTTCACTTACATTAGTTGATAAGTATTTTGATTTGCCAGATAATCCTGTCCTTATTTTATGCAGTAGTTGATATTTTGGCTAGAGTGCCTGCAAGTCAATTGGCTATTAAAGATTAAGCATTAATTTAAACAGATTTAATATTTAATTTCAAATAAAGAAATTATTGTAACAATAATTAAATAAACATTGTCTAGAGAATATGAAACATTATGCATTATGATTAGATAAAATGATAAACATTTATCAATCTGCTCCACTGTTTAAACCGTTATGTATAATACAGTAAAAGACTGACTATTTGAAAAGCTCATGAAATATAAAATTCTGGATAGCTGAGTGCATAAAAAATGCAATTCATGTCAAGAAGTCCAAATCAATGGGAATATTTTCAGCTCAAAAATTATAAAAACAAGCATCTTATTTATTGCCAACTTGAATATCAAAAGCTTACATTAAAATTATATAAGATTTTGAGAGGGAAAAAACCCCTCATTTCAATCATAAATGCTGACATATTTCAATCATTATAAAATACTACCAAACATGAAAGCTGGCAGAGATGTCGCCAGTTGTTTTGGTAGAAGCTGAAAGGAACAGATCATTCTTTATTTAAATAATACAGAGATGCAAACTCTGGATATAGGATATAAAGAACTTAAATTGCTTATAATTTTTCTTATTACAGCGCTACTGTTTATCTGTTACTGTTTTATAAGTCACGTATTATGACTTTTTTTATGCTTGCATTCTGTAACTTTCAAAATATTCAACTTCATGCAATGCCAAATGTTCATTTTTTTTTTTTTTTTTTTTTTTTAAATTTTTAAAATGCAAGGGGAAAAAATTTAACTTATATCCATCTTTTCAAAATTACCAAGAATTAATTGGATTATATTAAACAAAAACAAACTTCTTATGATTGTGTGGTGACATCATGCCTATTCATTATCAGTGCTAAATAAAACTATTTGGCAACAATATGTATGTGTAAATATTACGAGCTGTATAACGTCATAACAAATCTCTCATTTACAAAATTTTTCAAAGGAAAAGGGTTTTTTTTTTTTAAATTCTTAAATATTCCAGTTACTTGAGCTTTCCAGTTAGTTGACTGCCGGGTAGTTAGGCTTTTACTGTACCTGGTTAATTATGTGGCATATAACACAAAAATTTCAAAACACTAAGTAGACACAGCATTTTTATTAAAGTGTGTAGGACCTTTAATTCCTCAAAGACTCATATCATTAATTTTCTTTCCAATTGTATTATTCATTTACAGTGTTTTAATAAAATATCACCACTTTATTATTCTGATTTGTTTACAATGCGAATAAGTATTGAAGCAGAGAATGAATATTTGATTAAAGACATGAATGAAAAGTTCTTAAATGAAAACATCTTAAATCCAGTACAACAAATATGGCGATGTGGATTAATAACAACAAGCAATGGACTGTATTAAAAATGTGAATTTATTTTCAAGCCAAAAAAAAAAGTTGCATTGTGAATCCATCAAAAATAAACAGAACATCTACACTCGACTACAAAGCATGAGTAGTCACGTGATTTACTTAATAAATCTGTGTTCGTAAATAGCAGCATCATCGACAAACTTAAATTTAGTAATAACATACCGCAGCCCTTGAAGCATTCCAAGAGCTTCAAAAGAAAATACAAGATAACCTGAAAAATTATAAGAAAATATTAGTGACAAAGTATAAAAGAAAAGTTGTAAATAATCAAACTTAACAGTGTAAAACAGGCAAATGTTCTAAAGAATTCAAAGTTCACAACTCGAACTTTGTTATCTGATCTGGGATTAACACAAATTATTCTATCCAATTTCCACTGAAGAGGTGGTATGTTTTCTTCCTTAATCAGGACTAAGTCGTTGACAGACATATTTTTGTGAGATTTCTTCCACTTATTTCGATGTTGTAACCCAAACAGATATTTTCAACTAACTCTATTTTTTCCAAAAATTGTGAAAAATTCCCAATTTCCATCAATCAACAATATTTTTTGATTCTTCTAAATTTTCTTCGGGCAATGATGTGAGACATATACCAATGAGGAAGTGTGCAGGTGTGAGAACACTAATGTCATTTGGATCATCAGATTATGGAAACAAAGGCCTCTAATTCATACAGGCCTCAACCTGTGTTACTAAAGTTGTGAATTAAGGATAAGTCAAGATCGCTGCTCCCATTGATCTTCGAACATACTGCTGCATAGATTTTACAGTAGATTTCCAAAGTCCTCCAAAATGTGGTGCAGCTGGAAGAAGGAAATTCCATTTAACATTTTCTGAAGTCAGGATGTTCATTTTTCTGACAAAACAAGAAAGCCTTACATATTTCCTTGCTAGCATCCTTAAAGTTCATATCACAGTCACTAAATATTTTTTTTTTTTTTTTGGTTTTCCTCTCCTGGATCTGAACCGTTTTAATATTTCCACACAAGCCTTAGTAGAAAGATCTTCGACGACTTCAAGATGAACTGCTCGCGTGGTAAAACAAACAAAAATGCAAACATAACACTTGAAAGCCTTTTGTCCATGGCCTGCTCTGTGTTTTATCGTGAATAGGCAGGTAAAATCCATCCCGACTTGAAGAAAAGCTCGTGAAGCTGTAAGTCTTGACAATTTTAGGTCAGCCATTATTTGTTTTGCAACTTGGGTACGATGTCTACAGCAAACAACACAATTCCTAATATTTTTTTTATTTCAGATCTAGCAGTGAGAATCCAAAACCTTGGTCTTATTATAAAAAGCAAAAGTGCAGAAGGTGCATGCAAATACATTTTGTGATAATGTCTAATGATGAGCTTAGAAATGAAATGTTTTTGAGGAATGAGCATAGGAAGTCTTTGATTTTCCAAAATATTTGAATTCCTTAATCATCCTTCAACACGAATTTCTCTTTCATCAAGGAATGGACTTAAGGAAAGTATTCGGCTGTTCGATTTTACAGATTTTCTACTCTTTAAGCTTGGTACTTCGTAATGAAATTCAGAACGTTGTAAAATTCTTATTATCGTACAACTCACATTATTAAGTTCTTCACTGACAAGTAATCCTGCTTTCTTAGAAGTGCGAGTGCGCTTCAAACAACTGTTGATAAATCATAAACAATAAGCAACAATATGGCATAATTTTATCCAAGATGAAAATTTGGAAAGAAAAGAGTCATCATCAATTTTAACTAAATTAGAAATAATGCATTTTCTTTGTTCCTTAGCTACTTCTTGACTGTCCAATTTCATTTGTTCATCCAATACAGATTCCGGATAAAATTCTGTAACCAGGAAGGTCCATTGAACCATTGTTCACATTCAATCAATTTATTAGGTTATCCTCTAGTACCATAATGAGCAGGATTATTTTTCTCTTGAATGTAATTCCATTTCCCCTCAGGAATGGCAGTTTGAATTTTTGACACTCGATTGGCCACGAAAGGAAGCTATCTCTGTGATTCAGATGCTACCCAAAATAAAGTGATAGTAGAATCTGACCATGCAAAACAATTACTAGCAGGAACATTCAAGCATTTCATCATTATCTTGAGTAAATTTGCTAGCAATAGTGCAGAACATAGTTCTAGTCAGGGTAAAGATTATACTTTAAGTGGTGCAACTCTTGTTTTTGCATATATCAATACCTTACCTTCCGCCTTCAGAAAACGAATTAGCATAAATAACTGCACAATACGCTTTCTCAGATGAATCACAACAGTCATGTAACTCTATGTTGCAATGATTATCAATTAAAATCATTCTAGTAATTTTTAAATTGCTAAGTGAATTTAACTCTCCCTGAAAACGAGTCCAAATAGTTGATCATTATAGATTAAGCGTTTCATCCTGATCTAACTTGCCAGTCCACAAGCCCAGAAGAAATATTTTTGCAAAAATTAAATGCATCACTTTGGGGGTGCCAGTTTATTCCTAACACATTTCTTGATTGTTCCTTGAAAATGTCTAACTGAAGTGCATTTTCTCAGAGTTCTTGTGGTATTCCTTCTAATAATTCATCAGGCATATTAGATGACCATTTCTGAAGTATGAAGCCTCTTCTGTGCATAAGAATATCTATGTCGTGTATTAAATTTTTGGCAGCAGTTCTTGATGCAGCACTTGTTAAAAGATCATCCACATAAAAATCAGATTTGATAACTTCCGAAGCCCTTGGAAAATCCCTTTGTTCATCTAACACTAACTGGGGAAGAGAACAGGTTGATAAGAAGGGTACAGGGGAAGTTCCATATGTCACCATTAGTAGTCGATATTCTTGAATTGGTTCATTCGCACAATTACTTCAAAGAGTGCACTGAAAATCCATATCTTCTTGATGCACAAGAATTTGTCTATACATTTTATCTATATCCGTACAGATAGCAACAGCATATGTTCTAAATTGGATGAGAATGTCAAACAACTCTGGTTGAATTCTAGGACTTACAAGTAGCAGGTCATTAAGTGAATATCCACTGGATGTTTTTGTTGATGTGTTAAATGCAACCCTTAATTTAGTGCTAGTTCTTGATGGTTTAAATACTGGATGATGAAGCAGATAATAGACTATTTGAGGGTCAGGTTCAGAATTAGGTATGACTTCCATATGTTGCAAATGCAAATATTCATCAAGAAACCCCTTATATAAGTTACATATACCGTTTGGGTTTTCTCACTAATCTTTTTTCCAAAAGTAAAAACCTTCTCAAAACTAATTCCCTTGAATCTCCTAATTCTGATGGCGATTTCTTGAATGGTAATCTTACTACATATCTACCTGTGTTGTCTCTGTTATGAGAAATTTTAAAATGTTCCTCACACTTTACTTCAGATTTTGACAGAACAGTTTCTTTCGGAAATGTTTCGAGAGTTCAAAAATTCTTAACTAATTCATCAGTAGTTAACTCAATTATTTAATGATATGTAAGAGTTCACATAAGAATTAACTAACGCTGTTCCTGAAATGATCCAACCTAATTTTGAACGAACAGCTGTTGGAAATTCTTGGTTTCGTTTAATTGGCTCACCCAAAACAAGTGACATGAAAGCATCGACTCCTAGAAGAATATCTATTGGAGCAGATTCATAAAATGTAGGATCCGCCAAAATCAGATCATTGAAAGAATTCACAATATTTGATGGTAATGATACGTGTGGTGTGTGGTAAGTTATCAAAACTAATGGGTGGTAAGTTACCAAAAACCTTGTCTATAACAAAAACAGAAGTTGTAAAGGAAGTATCTTGAGATTTTGTGAAATGCAATACCGAATTATGATTATTATGACACATTTTGCACCTACTCAAGCTTTAACAAGCCTTAACATTATGCACATTAGATAAACAATTAAAACAAAGTTTATTAAACTTCACAAAATTGAATCTCTTCCTAACAGGCAATTTATCGTATTGATCACATTATATAAGTAATTATCTTTCTTACAATAAGGACAATTTGTAGTAGGTTCTAAAACCAAAGATGTGACTTTACAACTTATCCTTCTTTCCTTCAAATTGGTTTTACTGTTGTAAAGTTTTCCAGCATGTTCCTCTAGAAACGTAAGTAATTCATTTAATGTTCCTAGTTGATTGCCCTTTAAGTGTCTCTCATACCAAATGCATGTATTTTTATCCAATTTTTCTTCAAGTACATGAGTTATTAGTGTGTCACCAAAGTCTTCTACTCTTTGTTTTAGAACACTTAGGGAATAAATGCATTCATTAGTGATGTGGACAAGATTCAAAATAGCCTCCTTTGAATCAGAAACATTTGGATGCGTAATAAACTTCTTAATGAATTCACCAGCTTATGTTTATTCGAAAATCTACCTTCGAGTAAATCCCACGCGATTTTATAATTTGAATCTGAAATAGGTATAGCTTGAATTATTTTCAGAGCTTCAGCCTTACAAGAACTCTTACGATATTCATGCCTTTGAGTGTCTGATAATTTAACATTATTATGTACACTGACTTTAAAACGATCGCTAAATGTAAGCCATTGATCTAAATTTCCGTAAAGGTAGGTAGAGATAATTTTGGAAGTTTTATGTCTGTAGTATCTGATTTAACACTAACTGAACTAACATTATTAAGGTGGTAAGAATCTTTTCGTTCTAAATCCAAGTAGAGATCATCAATTGTATTTTGAACAACTATTTCATATTCTCCCACATAGGTATCAACTTTCTTTTCCTCACGTTACATAAATGTTATCAAAAATGCATAAAACATCTGCACTTAAAATATTCAGTTTCTTTTTTAAAAGTTCGATTTTTGCCTCATCGGCCTTAGCAATCTCAGAATTAATTTTATCTTTCAATTTCGTTAAATTGCCTTTAGCAACTCGTTTCTTTACTAATAGTGATTTCATATCCATTATGAGAAATGTAAAATTAACTTACCCTAAATTGATACAGCAGATGTGTTCTTTCAAATGGGTCAACAGCAGTCCGTAGCATCAAAATTATTTGATTAGTACGAAAAGTATATATTATCCATTCGATGACAAATAAATGTTCATTGCAGAGATTAAAAAAACAAAAGATTAAAACAGAAAAATGAAAACACAAGGTGCAAAGCTTTGTAAACAAATCTACAAATCGAAAGTACCAAAAATGGCTTATGCGGCATTCATACCATCGCAGTGTATGAAATCAAAATTGAGCAAAAG